AGGGTACCTGGGGCTCCTTCCCAGGGGTTCAATGACCACATTTCGAGAACTGCTGCCTTAGAAAAATTGAAGGAACATTACTTATCAGCTATGTGATCTTGGGCAATCCACTAAACTCTTTACTGAGCTATATAAAAGAAATAATAATATCGCTCCAGAGTTATTCATCAGTATTAAGAGATGTGAAAATATGTTGTACATTGCACAGGATCATAAAAATCTAAGACCTTATTAATATTTCTAATGAATGATATCAGGGTTTCAGTGGATACCATTGACTACCCTAACAACCTGGTAGTGACCAAAATTTATACATTTTGGTTCTGTTGTTTCTCTTACTAGCAATCTTTACACATTTTTACCTGAATTTAGCCCCTCAGAGATGCAAAACTGATTCATTAATTAATGAATGAATATTAATAAATGTTGCTGCCAGCTGAACATATCTAAGCTTTTATCATACTCCTACCTCACCTTCATGGTCAAATTTGTCTAAAGTTTTCCCTTGAATATGTCTGAGCATGTCCATTTGTTTCTCTTCCCTTCCAAAACTGGCCTCCCTACTTCTACGTACAGAAATACCATTCCCATCCTTAAGAGTCCAATTAAGTCAGTCTTTTCTGGCTACCCAAGCAGGATAACCTTTCTCCTACAAATATCTGGTACTTAATGCCTTATGTTACTAGATAACTTCTCTTTGCTGGCCTTTCCTTAACTAGACTGTAATCTCTCTGAGGGTTAAGTACATTTTACACATTTCTCTTTATTCCCTTTAGCATCTATTAGCACAGAGTATTCAGCCTGTCTCTTGGTCCTATGTGTACTCTACTAGAGACTAAAATCAATGAAGCACTGACCTTCGTACCCAAATAAAGGCCTAGAGGACTACGGTAGTTTAACCTGTTTTATAGACCTAAGAGCTATAGCTCGTCATATACAGTTTCTGGACAAGTTTTATCTATAAGTCTTACTCCAGTGATAGAGCAAGGTAATCAGTATTACAGCTTAGAGTACAATTACTCTATAGACAAAAATCATACTTCTCAAAATGCCTAAGATGTAGCTCTGAGAGGAAAACATATGATAATGTATATTAAGATAACTAAGTAGATTTAAGATATTTTTCTTTAAAAAGATAGGTAATAAGAAGTCTTTAAAAACCCACCTATTTAAAATACACAAAAACACACACAGTGCAACAACATAAAAAATGAACTAAAATGAGCATTACTTAGACTTAACTAAGTTAAAAAGCAAATGCAAAATGCAGGATGGCAAAAAACAAACACCAGCCATGAATTGTAGCATTTATCATCATTCAAAAACTCAAATCAAATAGGCAACAAACCAAAGGTAGAAATTTTTTACTGAAAAAGCAACAGCAACTGAAAGGTTGTCAAGTGATAAAAAGATCATGGGACTTTGTTTCAGAATAAGCTGTGTTCAGATTCTAGTTCAGAACTATATGAAATTAATGAAATCACAAATTCTTCTAGGCTTCAAAGCCCTTATCTATAAAATGGGGTTATTACTATCTGCCCAGCAATGTTTCTGAGAGGATTAGAAATAATTTAGGGCAGTAAAAAGTACAGACTTTGAAGTCACATGGGTTTGGGTCAGAACTGCCTATATATACTTTAATGTAAGCCTCAGGTTTCTCACTTGTAAGATGGTATACTACTACTTCCTCAGAGCTCTTGTGAGGGTAAGTAATGCCACAAATTATTTTTTATAATGTCTACAAAGTCTTAAAAGTACCCCTAGTAAGTGCTCAGTAAGTTGTCCCTATTAGATTTGTAAATATATTCACACATACCCACATACCTCACCTTACATGGTGCCTGCTGTATTATGTATGCTTATTATATTATATTATGCTTATTATAATTATTTCCTACAATAAGAAATTTTAGAATGATGATTATAAACTTGAAACTGCAATTTTATACCCTGTTACACTCAACCTATATATGATTAAGCAATAAGAGCTTAATGGTAGTTCCTTAATTATCCCAACTACAAATTTTTCAGGATAATTCAGGGAGTGGAAGCAGGTATAAATAAGTATAAATTGTTCACTAATAGAAAGAAAGCCCAGGAACAAGAAAACAGTACATGTGAGATGTGTCAATCTATATTAGGCATATCAACTATTCACTCTGTAAATGCACAATCCTTAAATTATATGCTTATTTATTAATGAAAGTCATTTACTATTTAGTTTTTTGTCAAAGGCAAAGTCAAACAAATTTAATTCCCTCCCAAACTACCTTTCACTTCGAGCTGTCCTGTAGCTGTCCTGGCTCTAGACCAATTTCACTGGGTTACAGGGGAAGAAGTGATTTTACCAGTTCTTTCAAGACATTCTGAAACTAGAAGCATTAAGAAACTGCAGCAATCATTTCATACCAATATTCCATGAAGCTGAAGCTGCTGCACCCTGGCTCCTAGAAATCACTTACCTATCAGTGATTTTTTGTTGTTGTTGTTGTTTTTAGCATATCCTGAAAAGGGGTTACGTATGCAGAGTAAAAAAAAAAAA